TACCGTATGAGTTATGAATTATTGACATTTTCTTAATTAAAACTTCTTTTTCAGAAATGAGCAAACGCTTATTAATTTATAATAACTATACTTTAATAACATTATTTCCTATTTATTAATGTAAAAATACAAATGATAGCATTCAGATAACAAATCGCACGAGCAAAATTGTTGTTTCTACGCAAAATATTTGAAATATATATACAAATGTTACACTTCCCAACCCGCTTTAAAAACTTAATTGATCATTCTCTATTTAAAAAATCTCCCTATTTAAGAAAGACTTTAAAACATCCCTTAACTTTATGATTTTAGTAACAGTGACGTTGTCTTTGATCTAAAGAAATATAAAGCAATGTCAAGCAATAACTCTACATAAAAAAGTTAATAACAATATCTCATTTCTAGCTCTAATTAACGTCCGTTTCTATTTCAAAAACAGTGATCTTGACCTCAACTCCATGTTGTCCTAGATCAGTTCCAAGCAATATATTCACATACATTTGTTATATTCTAAGTTTGATTATAATTGCTTTTTCTTTACTCAAGCTATAATCTGGAAACTATTTTTAACTTTACCGAGAGCGTCATTAAGCCATCCCAAGCTAGGTCTCAATACAAGCTTGCTATATATGCCAAGTCTGATTATAATATCTATTTCCTTACTGTTGTTTTCGTCCAGAAACCGTTTTTTCTATCTTTTGTAACAATGACCTTCATCCTAATCCTAGGGGGTCCAACAGGAACGTAAGTATCTTCTTAAACTTGTTACATGCCGAGTCTTATTACAATATGTCATTCTATCTCATCTAGTCATCATCTACAAACCATTTCTCTATTTTTAGTAACAGTTTTCTTGCTTTTGAACCTAGGGGTTCCAACAACAGTCCCGATGAAGTCTCTTCGTGATCATAAGCTTGCTATATGCCAAGTTTTATTACAATATCCCATTCTTACTTTTCTTATCTGCCGAAAATATTTTTTGGTAATAATGATTTTGACATTGACCCCCAGGAGCTGCAAAAGCAAATACAACAGGGGGTTGCCATCATATAAGCTTGCTTCACACAAAGTTAGATAACAATATATCTTTGCTTACTCTAGTTATCATCTGAAAACTTTTTAAGTAACATTGAATTTAACCATGATAAAAAGGGTCAAAAACAATCCAAACCAGGGTCCTCATATCAGCTTGCTACATACCAAGTTTGATTACAATATCTCAATTCTTTTGGTATTTTCCGGAAATCATTTTTCTTTTTAAAATTACAGTGGCCTTAACATTGACCCCAATTTCAAACGATGTTTCCATATAAGGTGGTTATATACCTAGTTTGATTGCAATTGTTCAATCCAAAGTCTTGCCATGATCTGGAAAGACCCACGTACTGATCGACTGACAAAGTTGACTCCTATAGATTGAAGAATCTATAGAGTCATGTCATTATTGTTTATTATATATTTAGATTTTTTCATAGAAAAAGTTTCATGATTTTCATTAAATAATATAGTATAGTTCATCAGAATAGTTATAGTAATTTATAAAAAAAACTTTTACATGATTATATTGTCAATTATATATTAAACTTCTATGCAAAGTAACATATACATTTTTTATTGTTTTTCATATTTATATTTCTCAAGCAAGATTATAACTTTACGCATAATTTTTGTAGCATTCATTATGTTCACTTGAAATTATCAATGGATGTTAATTAATTGTCATCTGATTAACTTACTTTTACAAAGACTTTAATTCCTAAAACTGTCCTTAAATGTTCCTTGAGCTGCCGTCTTTGTTTTATGTGGGTTCGTAGTGACTTCCGTAATTTTGTATCGAATTGATTCATATTTGACTTAAGAAAATGATATGTTCGAGAGCTATATATGACGATGGAGCTTGGGCCGCGTAGCTTTACCGTGTAGTATTTTAACAGCCAATATCTAAATGTTATCAGATAGTCAATATACGGACTTAGTAAGTTACTTTTGAGGAAATGATCCTAAATGCCAGTTTATAATTAGCTTTACTTATATATTTAATTTTTTAATGAAAGTGGTAGTTCAATTATCTAAATATTTACACTTGAAGCATTTCCATCAAAATGTTTTTAAAGTTGTTCAAATTAAGTTTTTCACGTTGACTTACTTTGTAGCCAAATAATAAATACTGACATCATTTAAGGTTCGGTCTACAACTAGCATAACTAGTTTTCGGTTATGGTCACTGTAACTTAGAAAAGATTGTTTTCGGAAGCAATGAGATATTATGATCAATCTTAGTATATAGCAAGCTAAATTTAAGGTCCAAATGAGGATTGCTTCATGATGCACTGGGGTCAAGATAACTGGCAATAAAAAAAGGAAAAATTGTTTCCGGAACGATAGATAGAGTAAGCAAACGTGGGATAAAGCAAGCTTGTATGAAGACCTCAGATTGAACTGCTTTTGGACCCTCTTGGCTCAACGTCTCTTTTACTAAAACTAAAACAAATGATGTCCGATATATAGCTAGAAGTAAGAATAAGATACAGAAATCAACATTAATTAAAGCAAGCGTATTTGAAGATTCCAATTTGGATTGCTGTAGAACCCCTGGGGTCAAGGTCACTGTAATAGAAATAGAAAAATTGTTTTAAATACAAAAACAAATAGATTTTGAAATGAGACATTGTTTCAAATATTGTTTATGTGCAGACCTAGCTTGGGTTGCTTTTGGACCCCTTGGGTCAGGATCAAGGTCACTGATACTTAAAATGAATACAAATGGTTTCCGAACGGTAACTAGAGCTAGGAAAGAAATATTGTAATATAATAAGTCTTGGAATGAGCAAGCTTATGAAGATGCCAAGCTTTGGATTTTCGTTGGACATCTAGGTTCAAGATATATGTTATTGTTATAAAAAAAGTTTATTGAGTGTAAGTATATTTTTTACATAAAGGTCATTTGATCATAAACAGATTATCTCAAATTTTGTTAATATTTCCTACTATCTCCTCTCTTTTTGTTTACGAAGGTAATATTTTACAAATGATTTTACTCTATATACCTGTTTTTCTTAAATTCCTGGCATATATTAAGGAACAGGATCAGTCAGAAACAGGAAGAGAGGTTTCCTAAACATCATTTAGCCCCCATAACCCAATGCGTGATATCTATATCTCTGTTAAAGGTGTTGAGAAGCTTTAAAAATAACCTCAACCCCCATGAAGCTGCAGGACCTGATCAAATTAGACCCATTGTGCTCAAAAACACCAATAAAGAATTAGCGCCTATAGTGTCCAAACTCTTCCAGAACTGTCTGCAGTCCAGCACTCTATCAGACAAATTTTCGCCCCTGTCTTTAAAAAAGGTAGCAAGTCAGACTCAGCCAACTATCGCCCTATCTCTCTTACCTGTATCTTGTGTAAAACCCTCGAACACATTGTCTCCTCCAGTAAAACAAAGCACTTTACTAGATCAAGCTTGTTCTATGAATTGCAGCATGGTTTTTGAGAACAAGGCTTAATCTCCCTCTTGATTTCTCTAAAGCCTTTGATACAGTCAACCATGAAGAACTGTATAAGCTGCAATTCTACGGTATAAAGGGTCAAATCTTAAATGGATAAAAAGGTTTTCTTGATAATAGGTCGCAATCCGTGGTTGTAAATGGCTCCACATCAAGCTCCATACCAGTCTCCACCGGTGCTTGGGCTCGGTCCTCGGACATCTTTTATTTCTTTAATACATCAATGACCTTTCTGAATATGTCCAATCCTCTTAAGTCAGCAACATGACTTACACCGACTTGAACAATGGGTGACAAAATGGGACATCCAATTTAATCCATCAATTTGCCGGGTTATCCAAATTACAAATCGAAATTCTGTCATTCCAACACAATACCTCCTACATAACACCATATTAGAAACAGTTTCATCTGCAAAATACCTTGGCATAACAATATCAAATGATCTAACATGGAACAAACACATAAACAACATTACAACAAAGGCGAATCAAACACTTGGTTTACTACGCCGAAACACCAAAGTTCACTCAGAAAGGTTAAAGTCAACCGCATACAAGACACTTGTCAGGCCCCAGCTCAAGTACAGCTCCACGGTCTGGTCCCCCTACACAGGAACTGTCTTTGATCAGATAGAGTCCGTCCAGAGAAAGGCTGCTAGGTGGGCCAAACATTACTTCGGCCGTATGTCAAGTGTCACTGACATGTTGAGTTCCCTTCAAAGAAGGCGCCTTGACCTTCCGCGTATTGACCAACGCCTGGTCTTACATGACCAGGTGGCTATCCCTTTCCCAAAGTATATCATCTCTCTTACAAGATCATCTAGAACATACCATCTCTATGCATTTTAGCAAGTCCAAACTAAAACTGATTACTATAAATATTCATTTTTCCGGAGAACAATAGTCCACTGGAATGTTTTACCACCTGATATCATTAATTTGTCTGGCCCTGAGTTCAGTCTGGCTGTAAGCCGGATTGAACCTACGTCTCTATAGAAATAACTTTTTCTGTTTTTAACCTGTTTTTAACAATATACTCATTTCTATTACTTTTATATTCTTTTATTTCAGCTCTTTCACTAACCTTCTTGTCAGTTGACGCGCGTCAAGTCTAGGTCCCCAGCAGGGGTTTGACTCTAAGAAAGATAGATAGATAGAAATAAACAAGGAAATTTATTGTAATAATTATTGGTACTCCGATATAGAAACTTCATGAAATACAGGTCGAGTTCAAATTTGCTTCAGACTTATTAATTTGTTAAACATTAAGGTATGAATCACTTTTTGCGAGACTTCAGTTTTGTTCTGTAAATATTTAAAATAGCAGTTTTGAAATGGTGAATAGCTTAAGTACTTGTTCCGGCTTTATAAGCTAAAGCTATTATCCTTTGATTTGTATTTTAGTGTAAAGTCACGATCTTTTTTTATATATTTTACCTGTTTTGAGCTAGATTTTGCGCTCTATCACTGCTTTAAATTGATCTTGCAGGTAAATTACCAGCAATACCGGACAATACTTCCTTGTATTATGAAGATAAGAATCATTACAGCAGAATCAACGAAATTGAAATGAGTGATCTAGATGATGAGGAATATGAATATAAGGTACTGGTTTATTTGCGGAAATTTCATTTTTGTAGCATGCTACATGCGACTCAATACAAATATTATTAAAAATGCTAGGTGCTTTTTACTTATAATAAGTATTTACATCAAAATTTAAGTGTATATTTTCAGTTTATCTTTTGGTATATTCCATTTTATTTTTCCCGCCAACTGTTTTCTCGTTCAAGGCATATGTATTCTTTAATTGGGGACCATACACCGTTTTCATGGTATAGCTCTAACGTGTCACATTGAAGGTTCAATGAAAACTACAGAATGATCACATCTACGGATGTTCCAAAATTCTAAAATTAACTCTTTTCATATTTGAATATTGTATTCTGACTAAGCCGGTGCTAGAGGAGCATGTACGGTAATGTGCATGTTATATTACCGTCAATTAACAGACTCCACAAAACCGAGCCTGCAAAAGTTTCATTTTTTCCGTTTTGTGCTCTATGGGGACTTTGCTTTTTTCATTTTATGTTATATTTGAAAATGAAACAAAACCTCCAAAGGTCAACGAAAACGGCAAGATTGAAAATGTGAGAGGCTCTGACTAACAGAGCCTGGACAGTAATCGAATATGAAGAAATCAAGATTGGAACAGTAAAAATGCAAAATCTATATTATCAAAGAAACATCGGCAGAGTTCATACAGCACTTTTCATTGATTTTTTTATTGTAACATACCTTTTAATTAAACGAAAAGCGGAGTTTTGTCCAAAAGTAAAATAATGAGTGAGCCTTAAAGAAAGAAAAAGAGAGGTTTTCAAGGGCATCAGAGGTTATGAAGCCTAACAATATAAAAGAGATAAAGAAGGATATAAAAAAATGCCCAGCTCGCTTATTGTTTTCTTGCTTTAGCTCACCTGTCACAAAGTGACATGGTTAGCTTTTGTGATCACTTTTCGACCGGCGTCCGTCAGTCGTCCGTCCGTCCGTCAGTCGTCCGTCCGTCAGTCGTCCGTAAACTTTTACTTTTATCTCCTCATAATCGTTAAGCCAATTTCATCCAAACTGCACAGAAATGGTCCACTTTCGGTCACCTTTAAAAATTGTTCAAAGAATTTAATGGCAACCCCTGGGATAAATATTGGCCACGTCCCGGGGGGGGGGGGTAATTGCTTGATCTTATATGTATATAGTAAAAAACTTTAAAAAAACTTCTTTTGAAAAAATAGCTGGAGCTTAAATATTTGGCATTAAACATTGTCTGATAAGTGGCTACCAAGTTTGTTCAAATAAAAGCCCCGGGGTCAATATTGGCCCCGTCCCGGGGGGTCATTGATTTTTCCTTAATGTATATAGTACAAACTTTAAAATCTTCTTGTAAAAACTCCAAAGACCTAGAGCTAAGATACTTAGCATGAATCATCTTCTTATTGGTGTCTACCAAGTTTGTTCAAATAAGGGCCCTTGGGTTATTGGTCCCGAAGCGGGGGTCATTGATTGTCCTTATATGTGTATAGTAAAACAAATCTTCTTATAAAAACCCAAAAGAATTAGAGTTAAGATACTAAGCATGAAACGTCTTCTTCGGAATTTTGTTCAAATAAAAGCCCCTGGTTTAAAATTGACCAGGGCCCAAGGGCCTATATTCAGGTGAGCGATTCCATGGCCATTCTGGCCTTCTTGTTATTGTGACATCAGCGCTGTTTGGCTATATAGCCTCTGACCCTATTACAAAACTTTGTACGTTATTTTTTGTTGTTGTTGTTTATTTCACGTTTTGGGCACACGCATGTTTTTTAGACTAAACGCCGCCGCTTTTTATGGAATGACACATGTCACATTGGAGGTTCCATGATGAACGCCGTACGAAAACATCTGTGGGTGTTTCTAAATTCAAAAGTGTACTATTTTTTGTCTAAAAAATAAATTATGCTAAGGCTAATGCTAGCGGGCGTGATCGGTTTTTACACTTTCAAGTACCGTACAAATTCAATCAATCCAAGCCTGTAACAGTTGCATCGTTTAGGACGTTCTTAGGGGATTCTTTTCTCATTTATTATTTGATTGAATTGACATTTATTTGCATTATTTACGCTTACATTGTTAGATGTATATTTAAAGTTACTCTTCTGAGGTCTGGCCTCATGTCACAAAAGTAAATTTTCACGACCTGATAGTGTTTTGTTACCTGCATGTTAGGGGCCATAAAACAGAATCGGTGATTTATTGATATATGTTCTATCAAATTTGCTTATCTCTCCATTTGGTCTAAAAATAACGGACACGTGATGAGTCTCGGAATGACTGACAAACGGAAAAAATCATTTACAAGCAATTTTAATATATCTAAAGCCTTATAGTTTTGTAACCATGTGTTTATCTTCGTTACGTCGACGAATTTGACTACGTAGTGGGATATTGACATACACAAACTTCATATTTATATATCAAAGTGAGCGTAATCGTGTTATTAATAAATATTATGCATAGACTATGTCATGATAAAAATATCACTTTGTCTAGGCTTAAAGTTTTCCTTTTAATCAAGCTAGTGTCATGGAGTGATAGGTCCTATTTCGTAGGTGACTCGTACTATGTGTAAATTATCTGACATAGGTTCAAAATGAAACAAAAACGCAGTGTCTTTTAAAAACGAAAAAATCTTGAGTTTTGTAAGCATTAAAAATTACAAAAAAGATATCTGTTAGTAAACGATTGTTTGGGGGTCCTGTGCATCATAAAAAAAACACTTAATGATAATAACATTTTTTTCTTTCCTTCAAAATTGAAGAACATGATACATGAAACAACTTAATTAATATTTACAGACATTGAATAAAAGTATATGTACAAATCAGTCATAATCAACATAATAAATGCGTACTCTGTTGTCTAATCGACGAAAAGAAGATCAAAAGTATTAAACAAAAGCGTAATTAATAGTAACAATATTAATCATGAATAATTGACAAAAACAATGTCCACTGTTACAAATTAACACGGTTAGTCAATTTACATTAAAATTTCTTCCTGCGTGTTTCAAGTATTAGTTAAAGAGTAGAAAGTGAGGGTAATAATTCATAGAAAATTACGATGTAATACTAAACTATATTACATAATGTAATTTGAGAATTTCACAGAAAAGAAATATCTGAAAACAAATACATTTGTTCTTTATCTCACCACTAATAAAACATTTTCTGCAATCAATTGTGACAGCTTGCCATAGGAAATAAACGCAGTGTTAACAGAACGAAAGACATTTATTTTAATCACAATGACAATTAATTTCAATCGTCAAATATCACAAACGCTCAGGTATTTAAGAATATACTTTACAATCACACATAAAACGTTGACCTATGCCTTTAGTCAACCGATCACACTCAAACATTAACATATGTATTTCCTGGACAAGTACCGCGCTTAGATAATTATCAGTTTGAAGTATAGGTGCAATAATGTAGTTTTTCATTTCGATCGAGATCATTCAATACAAGATTGCCTCCTGGTGCAATAAAGACACAAAGGCATAGCATTTAAATAAACATTGACCCTTCTTTCGCTTAAAATTTGATGAAAAAGTATCCGCTCACATATTATTTTAAACGGTTAAGAGTAAATAAAAACATAATCCGATTTTTGTATTATAATGATAGAAGTTTCTCTCACTACCAATATTTCTCTGTTCATTAAAACCATTTTGCACCTTTGTCTGCGTTATAATTTATGAGGCTGTTGAGTCCTCATTCCAAAAAGGATTCAAAAATTTACAAATTTTCGTTTTTGGAAATGTTTCGGTAGCATAAACAAAATCTTCCAAAGTTGTGTATGCAGAATGTAAGTTTACAGTTACTGTAGTAAACTGACAGTTTGCTTTATATCAGCGCCTAAGAGGTTATTAAATTGATTTATGCGTTTATTATTTTTGTATAAGTACCTAATCTCACACCCAACCTATTCTCAAACATTTCATTTATGAGCTTTTTAGCTCACCAGAGCCGAAGGCTCAGGATGACCTATTAGGATCAAAGCGGGATACTCCGGCGGCCGTCGTCTGTCGTCATGCGTCAATAATCATCTTCTTCAGATTTACTTCAAATTTGGTCTATAGCATCTTTGTGACTATCACACCTAAATTTGCTAATATGATAAAAATTTGCCTCTTTTAGGGGTCAAGAGAGCTAAAAATAGAAAAAACTTAGACATCTACTTCTACAGAACCAATTGGTGGATGATCCTCAAACTTTTTCTGTAACATTCTTAGGTAGTCTTTTATCAAATTTGCTCATATTAATTTGATTGGCCCCTTTTAGGAGTCTCTTGACCTAAAATAGAAAATCCTGTAGATATTTTCTTCTACAGAACCAATTGATGGATGATCACCAAACTTTGTTAGTAGCATTCTTCGGTAGTCTTTTATTAAATTTGCTCAATTAAATTTGATAGTCCCCTTTGAGGGATCAAGGGAGCTAAAAATAATATAAACCTTTAGAAAGTTTTTTCTACAGAACTAATGATGGATGATCACCAAACTTTGTAATCAGCATTTCTTATAGTAATCTTTTATAAAAATTGCTCATATTTATTTGATTGGCCCCTTTTAAGGACTGCTAAAGCTAAAATACCCAAGACCATGGCATTTCTTCAAATTATAATTTTATGAAAGGAAAACAACTCATGTTGGAATGTCTTTGACCTGTTTGCTGATGAAATAATTTGAGGTCATGACCTCTGGCAAAAGAAATAATTTGAGCACATTATACAGGATATATAAGGACTTAGTATTAAGCTTTATTTGGTTTCATTCATATTCACTTAATTACATCACTAAATGCAGTGTTTTCTCTAGAGAGCTTTTTCTGCGTTTTTGACACAGTATTTTTGTATTTGACACGGTATTATTATAGTCGTGCGTTTTCCGTGACGCGTATTTTTGCGAGCGTCGTAGTATATTTTTTTTCTATAAATTCAAGCATTTCATCAGCTGATCGGTCACATGATTTATCTTATACGCTTTAGTGATTTTTACACGTTAAAGGCGCTCAGACGTTTCAGATTGTGACGACATTATCAGGATAAATTCACAATGTCTGCTGCAAAAAAGCAGCGGAGATTGATTTCATTCTTCATTACAGACAATGTTAACGTTGATTGGGTGACAGAATCTACCGTAAAAAACTATGCACCTATACCAAATGAGGTTTCCCAACAATATAAATCGGCAATTGCTGAAACAACTGAGAAATCCAAGCAAAATGATAATGCTCCGAAATGATTTTTCGTACTGAGTGGCTTGAAAGCAATTTTTGGTTGCAGTATGACGGTAATAAAATGACTTGCAAAGTTTTTATAATTGAAAATAAAGACAATATATTCACATCGGGATGCACAAACTTTAGAGCATCGGAACTGCCTCGTCTATTATCTATAATAACCTTTGAAAGTAGTTCTACCTAGCGGTTTCAGATGTAAAAAGAAACAAAGATAATGTAAAACAAATGGATATATTTGATATCTAATGTCTGTTCCGGTAACTCTTGTGCTTAAAAATATGTCTGACAAGAATTTGCAATTTAAATATGCCCACTGATGTTCAATTTTAAACAAATCTGACTAGATGTCAACAGGTTGGTTTTTTGTACTTTCGGTTTCTACAACCATAATGATAAATATATAAAAAATATATTGTTTGCTTTTTTACCTATGAATTCACTTATTTTAGGTGAACGTTTACTACATATATTGGAAATAAACTTGTCAACAACTCCCAGCACTAAATTACTACTTGTTTACATGTTTAGTTCCTTAGCGTAGGTTAGACCGAAATACCGTATCCGGTATGTGTATTCATACTATTGTGATCGAGGTCCTTATCCGAAGACTGACGGAAAGGGTCGAGTAGTTCCAATTGACTTAAGAGTTTTGTAGTACCATATGGTACTGGTGACGGGAGTTGCGAAAGTTAACGGAAGGTTCCGGACCAACCGGAACTAGTGTGTTAGGCTTGACAGCTATTAGTGTAATTTATAACTAGAAGACGAAGGCAATTAATAGCTTGGCTTTGATCCAGACGTGGAAGGTAAGTCGATTGTTTGTATTGCCAATCCCTTAATAATCAATCGCGATAATTCTATATTGGTGGCAGCGGTATTTTTTACGAAATCCGTTCCGAAAGATAGATGCTACCAAAGCTCCATAATTTCACCGATTGTGCACGAATTTACCCTCAAATAAAAAGTGTGTTGTCCCATACTGTTAACACCTTACATATTGTGCATGTGACATTTTGTGTATTCTTTCACCAAAGTTATAAAAAAGTATGTTCCATCAAATTCAACCCTGCTGTAGTGGTCATTTATTATGCATTATTTATATCTACATATTCTGATGGGAACACACTTGCAACATAGATATTTTTAACAAAGCCTCCAAAATATTAACGCAAAATATTTCAATAACTAGAAGGGCAAGTAAAAGTTTTGCTGGACTGGTCTTTCAGCAAGTTTATTTGAAAAATAACACTGAAAAACGGTTGTTTCTGAGCGACCAAAGGCCATCATGGCCCTCTTGTTATTTTTAACTAAAAAGAACTATGATGTCATCAACTTGTGTGCTTTAAGATTAAGTCTCTTACAGACATGTATGCTGCTGCCAAATCAAAACAATGCATAGCTACAGATATTTAGATTACATATTTTATTACTTAGTGCAATTTCATACAAATTGCTATTACTTTTGTAAGTCCTATTAATGCATCATTAATTTAAATAATGGTGTGAAATGAATATTAACTGCAAATAAATCATAAAGCATGTACCTGCATCCTGTAGGGTACTTCAATGTCATTCGATATTTGTATAACAATCACTTCATTGGCTAAATTAACAAGAAGAATTTCAGAGATACTTTAAAGGGTTGAGATTAGGTCCTTTATTCTAAGAGGCCATGTCAGTTTTACAAAAACAGGTTCTGCTTTTCCAAGAAGGCAATTAAGCTGTTTAAAATGTTGAATTTCGGCCAAATTTTACAGAAAAGAAAGTGTGCATATGTAAAGAATTTTTATAAAGATATATATCTTGAATGCTTACAGGTTTGAGAACTGGGTGCCGTTTTATAAACAAAGATGGTCGTAACTGCGATCGTATCTTACGACCAATACTTACGACCGAGCTTACGATTTTCACATTACCGTTTTATGAACACGGTGTTACGACCTCAGTCGCAGCTAAGACCATTTTCGGTCGTACGACCATATAACCAGTAACCATGCAGTCGAAAGTAGGTTTCCGGGTCACGTGATTTCCAGCGCACCTGTCTATGAAAAAAAAGTAGAGGTACTGTTATAGTCGTGTCGGCGTTGCCGTTGCCGTTGCCGTAGCCGTTGCCGTTGCCGTTCCCGTCCGCAAACTGGTACCTGGATAATAACTTTTTTATTTCTTGGTGTATTGTCTTCATACTTGGCCACAGCTACCCATGGGACAAGACCTTTCAGTAGACCACACTAACCTTGACATTCATCCATAAATGACCTTGACTTTCAAGGTTAAAAGTCCAATTTTTGCTTGTTCATGCTGTTATTGGCTGTAACTTTGTTATTTTTGAATGGATTTTCTTCAAACTTGAACATAATAATCTTCAAGGATATTCCTTCAAAGCAAACAGCCAGACCTTGACCTTCACTCATAAATGACCTTGACTTCGAAGGTCAAATTATTGAAATTTTCATTTTTGGGGTATTATTGTCTGTAACTTTGTTATTTTTGAATGGATTGTCTTCAAACTTGAACATAATAATGTTCAAAGATAATTCTTAAAAATAACCCGACAGACCTTGACCTTCACTCATAAATGACCTTGACTTTATATATCACTAATGACTATTTAGGTATATAATCATGACACCCTTGTATTTTCAATTATTTTACATAGATCAGAAAGAATATTCTGAATAAAGGTCAAATAACTGATAGTATAAATCATAATGATTTTTCTTACCCGTATAGTTTCTTGTGCTAGCTGTGTGAGTCAATCATAATGAATTCCAATGCATAATTAGAGTTTTAAGTTTTATTTTTACTGTTGATGCTTGAATACAGAGAGTCACTCGCAAAAGTTTAACCTGACTGTGTTTTCATGACATTGAATAAGTTAGGTGGCACATGTTGAATTAAAAAAGTATATGTACAAGGTTCTGAGGTAAATTGCCAAATAACATCTGCAAACATTAGATATCAGTTTCAGCTAAGATTAAGGAAAAGTTGAAAATAGTAAAACTGGCTTATTTGTGAATGTATTTACAGAACAGTAAGTTTTTATAATGTTTAAAAGTCATTTATTATTATTTCACTATGTCAATAAATAAATGAAGCACAGTAAACACTTTCTAAAACATATCTTATTTTGTTTTATAATACATGTTCAGAATTGATGTACATATCTAGAAAACTAGATTTTGAAACTAGATAACAGTATACACTGAGATTGTGACAATCATGTCTTTTAATTTCATAATTGTTCATATTGTGTTATTTTCTTTGTGTTTTTAAATTCATCCTAACATTTTCAATGCATTCAAGTAACAATTAATCAATTATGATGTTACATGTATATTGATTTATTTCTTGTTATTTCAAATGAATTGCAACACATAAATCTTTGTTGTTTTTTGTAAAGTTACTACATGTATAATCCAATTGAATACAGAAAAGAACATCATTTTGTCGTGTATTCCTTTAAAGCTTTGAACATGAATCAAACATTGTATAATGTTATTCAAAAGAACCGTAACTCTGACTTGTATAATTTTAGTTATTGCTCATTGTTCATTTTTACATTTTGAACTTTGACCGGGACGGGATGCTGCCAGTGATAGATTTCTACACATTTGCTTGAACGCGCGTTAGTTTTAACTGACATTTTTCATATTTGAATGGATGATAGCTTGCATCTTTTGAACGGAGTTAGGGGTCAGTTTGGTCAAGGTCGCTAGTGGTAAAATACATTTTACATCTTTGCTGATATAACGTTTATTTATGGGCAGATGTCTTCTTTCTATGGATTGAGTATGTGATCATATGGTCAAGATCAGGGATGCCAAATAGATTTCTATACATTGCTCATACAGCTTTTTTCACATTTGGCAGGAGCATAATTTGGATGGTCCAGTGCTTAAAGTCACAAGGTCAATGTCACTTGTGCTGACAATAGATTTTTTACTCTTTTTATACAGCCTATGTATTATTTTTTACCAATGTTTCATATTTACAAGGAACATATCTTAAGTGATCCTTTAAGTTTGGATGGAGTTTGGGGTCATTAGATTTAAGATAAAGTCTTACAGTTATACATAATTAAGAAAGTTTTATTGGTAAGTTGAATACTTTTTAACTTCATCACACGCCTTAGCAATTACTTGGCAACATATATTTTTGATAATTACAAAACACCATGACTCTGTCAAGTTTAATAACTGTGTTAACAATCATGTTTTGGCAATTTTTCTGTCCATGACTGAGTGAATTGGTTAAAATGTTTTTGAAAATTGTAACTGACAATTAGCTGAGCCGGGGGCATTTGTGTAAAATTACGTTATTCTTTTTGTTTTTGTTTTCTTTTTCCTCTGATTTCTATTTTATTTCAAGGAGTTTCATCTAAAAAAGAAAAGTGCGTCAGACGTTACAGTGTATGATGTATATACAAGGTCGAAAGAAGGAATGAATAGTACATGTTTAGAATATAGTGAAATGGTCAAAACCTTTCGTAGGTTGATTGTTCAAAACGTGCGTGTTGAAGACGTCTTACCATCTTTACAATTCCTTGGTATGTTAAAAATGTTCTGTCCAGCTCTTAATAACAAGTAAATTAACTTAATTGAAGATTTTTATAAATAGATTTGATGAAAGTGTATAAAAATATCTTTCATAGATTAATTGGTTTTCATATTTTTCTTTACCAGAGAACCATGACAATATATATGAAGAAAGAAACAGTTCTCGTAAAAAAGCTGTAGAGTTCCTATTGCACGAGTTGGAGAAAAGTGAAGAACCTGGGAAATGGCAAAAATTTATTGATGCATTAAGGGTTACTGGCATGTATTTATGATTTATCTAAAATAAAGTTATCAATTTTATGCTGTACTGTAGTCAAGACTTACAGGTTCCGACACCGTCCATGAATTGGCTGAATTAAAGAATGGCAGGTTGCATAAAACCACTTTGTAGGCTAAGGGAATTTAAACCGGTCAGTAGAGGGAAATGAGTGTGGTAAAATGAATAAATCTGGAAAAGATGTGATCCACCGAAACAACAAAATAGTATGAAAATTGTAGGTTTGATTGAGTCGATTCACTTCGGGGACAATAAAAATGTGCATTTGGCGTTTTCAATCTGCAATACTTACGTATCCCTAAGCACCTTAAAGACTGTACAACAACAAAGTTGGCTATTTAGTGTTTAATAATCCTTAGGCTTTTCCTTTTGATGTTATGTCCGTTAAGAGTCGCCTTATGATTCAATGCAGCTATGAGCGTTTTCTGTTACTATTTATTTCATGACGAATTTATGTATCCTATGCAAAGTCGCTCATATTTTGTAACTTGAATTATATAATATAGCTTAATAATGGTAAGTAACAGTTTTATAACTCTTCAACCAACAGAAAGAAGTATCAGTTCGGTAAACAGTTTTCGAAAGGGGCAGCTCAATTTTATCAGCATTTTCAAAACTCCGTGAGAACCTTTAAATATTTTGCTAAGACATGTATGATTTTCCAACATAAACTTTAGGTGCTTATTAAGGTACATCGTTTAAAACAAGTTTTAAGTAAGTTTCACCACGGATACTTAGAGTATCAAGCGATTATAATTCCTTTTTCCGTCCGGAGCCAAATCAACAGTCCGTAAATACTAACAGTTTACTGGTTGAGTGAAAGATTTTTATCGTAGAGTTATATATGAAAATTCATATTAATTTTGTCAATGATATTTTCTTATGTTTTGTTGGATTTAATTAAAAGATGATAATTTTCTTTTTGCAGGATACACGTATATTGTGGACAATATTCAGGGCTACAAGGTTATAAGTCACGAATACCAGAGAGAATATGTAAGAAAACTTATTCCAAAAATAGGCAAAATGATTACTCCATGTAAAGTTCTTCCACATCTTCGTTGTAAAGGGCTTGTAGCAAGATGCGACATGGAAGAAATTGAAAAAGTATCTGCAATTTGTAGTAATTATGCAGGTGCAAAACTTTTACTTGAAAGACTTCTAGAAAACAAAAAATACCACAACTGGTACGTTCTTTTTATAGAGGCTTTACAAGAGGCAGGTATGAATGAGGTTGCCATGGACCTTGAAATCCCAGCTTTATTACCAGGTTCGGCACAAAACTTCACTGATACTGGTAAGTTTACAGTTATCTTAACCGTTTTGATTATTGTATTTAAGACAGTTAAAGAATTACATTTTTTTCTGCATACATGTGTCAATTTCTGAATTATTAATTGAAATATCAGTTTTATTTTCATTGTCATATATACAGATACCGTGTATGTAAGTGAAAATGAAACAAAAGAAAACCAAGATGGATCAAAGAAAGAATCTATTCAGCCTCACACTTTTGATAAGGTAAATCGACTTATGGTTACACAAAATTGATAAAATATGCATTAAAAAGAGACAGAATTCGTAGTAAAGTTGTATGAATGAGAAAATAATTATATGTAGCTGTATTTTGTACATGTAGGTGCCTTAACTTTATTCACTTATACGTTTTAGCATAATGAACATAAAATACCAGTAAATAAAGGGAAATAAAACAACTTATCGATCATTTTGCGCCGGACACAGTATTTAAATGCCGGTCGCTGATTTGCAAAAAAAAAATTATATTCTTTGTCGTGATTTACTTCATTGTAAACATTTTTTGGTCAATCCATTTTTATTTCGGGCATTTTATGATTACCTCCTGGCGTCCGTCCTTTAGCGATTTGGTTTCCAACGCATAACTTAAGTTTCATTTGGCCAACAATATTCAAACTTCAAAGGATGATTGTCAATATATGATAGAAAACCCCTATTGATTTTGGGGTCACAAGGTTAAAAGTCAAGGTCACTTTAACCTTTAAACTGAAAACAGTTTCCGCTCAATAACTTAAGTATTAACTAAACATCAGTTATAAAATTTTATAAGATGAACAGTCATGTTTAATACACGACCCCTATCGATTATAAGGTCTAACGTCAAAGGTCAGGGCCACAATGATCATTACACTGTAAATTGTGGTTTCTGGAGCCAACTTCAATTCAATTTGGCTTACAGTGTTCAAACTTCATAGGATGATTGTCAAGATTGAAAATAAGACCCTATAATTTTTTAAGTGACCATGTTTAAGTTCGAGGTCACTATTACCTTAAAACTGAAAACGGCTTCCGCTCAATAACTTAAGTATTAATCAAACAACAGCTATAAAATTTTATTGGGTGAACAGTCATGTCCAATACACGACCCCTATCGATTTTAGGGTCCTAACGTCAAAGGTCAGGGTCACAATGATATTTACACTGTAAATTGTGGTTTCTGGAGCAAACTAAAATTTAATTAGGCCCACAGTGTTCAAACTTCATAGGATGATTTTCAAGATTCAGAAGAAGACCATTATTTTTAAAGTAACAAAGTTAAAGTTCAAGGTCATTATTACCTTAAAACTGAAAACGGTTTCCGCTCAATAACTTAAGTAATAATCAACCTACAGCTGTTAAATATAATAGGTTGAGCAGCCAATACATGCCTTCTATTTATTTATTTCAAGGGTCATAAGAGCAAAGGTCAGGGTCACAATGACATAAACACTACAAATTGTGCTTTCTGGAGCATAACACGAGTTCCATTTTGCTTACAGTGTTCATACTTCATAGGATAATTGCCTATATTAAACTATATTGGGGTCACAAGGTCAAAGGTCAATATCAATTGACCTTAATAGTGTTAACAGTTTTACAACTGTCAAACTTCATACGATGATCTCTTACAATGAGTGAAAATACTTATATTATGTTATATCCCTGGCGTCTTTCCGTCCTTCCGTCGTAGCATTTTTACTTAAAAGATATTAACTTGTCGGTGGTTCTTTTGAAACAGCGACTGTATATGAATGAAGAGTCTTCGGCTATAAAGGATGATTGCTTTTTGAAGGGGGCAATACTTTATTTGATTCAATGACTCACAAATGCTTCATCTTTACTAAATAAAACACTTTCGGGCATATAATGCTACGTCTAGCGTTGCTCTTGTTATTCATTGTTTAGCCCGTCAAAGTTATATTCAGTTTTGAAAAAACTCTTATCTTGGTGTTGAAAGGTAGAAAAAAGTCATTGAAATGAAAGAGTTGCTTATCAAATGCCAAAGTAAACCGTTTGCAGAATTCTCCGTCTGCTTCGCAAAGGCAGCTGCACTGGTGACAATCTCAAAGTGTATTGGTCAACACCATTGTAAATATAAATTCTAAATATAGAAATAAAAATATTAAAAAGCTCATTTATCCACTTCATTTTCTGGGTATATTTTTGTTCTTGATTACACACATTTTTATTGTGTCCCAGTGACCTTGACCTCATTTAATGCTGGACTTCAATGAAATATGAATGCGTATGTAAATAAGCCAATGGCACTTTGACGGCAAATTAAAATGTAGCATCCATAGGGGTGTCTTATGATCAAATGTCTAGCAATTTCATTGTACATGCCCAGTAGATCAGTATTGTTTCTCTAGTCGATTCATTTCTGCTGACTAACCTCATGTGCTCTCAAAATTAGATTCAGCAACATTTAAACTTCATTTTCTGTAAATACAATAAAATATTAACTCGTACTGTCTTCAGTAAATATAAGGAGTATATTTAATTCTGATTGTTATAAAGGTCCAATTATGTTACCACTACAGGCAAGAGATGCTGCAAATGAAACACATGGTAAAGAGCGAGAAGAACATATGAAAACAAATGACAGTGATGGTAAAATAGAAGAGAAAACAAGATGTTTAGAATACAGAGAAATGGTTAGAATATTCAAGCCATTAATCGTGCAGAATCTTCTTGTCCATGACATATTACCTTCTTTACCATTTCTAGGTTTGTATTTAATTGTTTAATTTTTCGAAAAGTTTTATTTTAAATTTTCAAGAGTAAGGTTAATATCTCGGAAGCATTTTTCAAAACAAAGTTACATGAAAGCATAATTATGACTCGGTTTGCTTTTATGTTTTCTTAGGGAAATAATTCCCGTGAACGTAAAGGGCCGATGCCTGTTAATCAGGCAGTATCGCTTCGTACGAAATTGTTTGAAGTGAAAATTGTGTGTATGTTGTGTATCATGTTCTTTTTATTCAAAAGTTGTTCAAATATTATCAGTCGCATGTATTGAGAATTAATGCTGGAAACAGAACTTCAATTTGAATTATTAAAATATCGTACAGTTACACTGGTTTGGAACATTTTCAAGGGTACTTTAAGCAAGGTAATTCAAATCATTGCAAAGAAATACACAAAAAATGTAAAAAATGGATAGCTTGATTTTGCGCAGCAGGCATTTATTTTGAAAATGAGCTCATAGGACACGGATGCCCCCACACGCCACTGTTCTATCAATCTTATGACTCTAGGTCAAATATTTTTTGGACTACATGTGCCACAATTTGAAAACGAAAAATCAACAAAGGGCCATAATTCTGTTAAATTTGGTCGCAGCAAAAATTCCTTCCTTTACTATCATCTACACATTAAGGTTGTTCATCCCTGTAAGTTTAAGCAAAATCTGCCATCCGGTTTAAGAGGAGTTGCATTCACAAAATTTCTACATAGTATATAGTGAAAAAATCAACAAAGGGCCATAATTCTGTTAAATTTGGTCGCAGCAAAAATTCCTTCCTTTACTACCATCTACACATTAAGGTTGTCCATCCCTGTAAATTTAGGCAAAATATGCCATCTGGTTTAAGAGAGTTTCGTTCACAAAATTTCTACATAGTATATAGTAAAACAAATAACAAAGAGCCATAATTCTATAAAATTTGGTCGCCACAAAAATTTCTTCCTTTACTACCATCTACAAATTAAGGTTGTTCATCCCTGTAAGTTTAACCATAATCTGCCATCCGTTTTAAGACGAGTTGCGTTACAATATTTCGGGACGTACGGACTGACGGATTGACGGACTGACGGACGGACGGACAAGTGCAACGCTATATGCTCCCACATTGTGGGGGCATAATAAATAAGAATCCCTTAAAAAAGTCCAAAAAGGCAAAATTTAATAGGTTACAGGCTCGGTTTGGTTTGACTGAGGTTGTGCCATTCCATGAAAAGCGACGTGTGGTCGTCAAGTTATAGAATGCGTGTGCCCTAAAAGAGAAAAGAATAGGCGGAACAAAGGGGGACCAGATGTTTAGAAGCCTGCATATTACAGATAAGACGTCAAAGTCAAAAGACAATGTTAAAAATCAGACAACATATCCTAAGGATGATTCAACATAATTCAAGTAGGAATATTAGAAAAATCGAAAAAATCTAAAAAGTTGAAACAAAAAAATCAAATCAAAAAACACAAACACAACAATTATGTCGTGTTGAACGATCAATAAGGATTGGAACTATAACTTCATTGATTGAATGTTCGGAACAACGTTTTACAGCCTCCAGACGGCACAAACAACGCTGATGTGGCAACAATGTTCACCGCATGGTTTCTATTATTTCCTATAATATATTCATATATTATTGTAGAAATCGCCCAGTACTTGCTTTGCCTTGTGCCCTGTCCCGTTTTTGTTTGGGTCCTGCTGGGCTTCTTGTCGGTGATTCCGTTTTGCTGGGTCGTGTGTGGGGGTTGCATTCATTGAACATTGCCCTTCGCTTTCTTGTTGATCCTGTTTTTCATTTTTTCTTTTCTGATTATTATATTTTTTTGTTTATGCAAATGCTATTTTCCATTATAACCACGCCTGTAAAATCTGACGAAAATTTACTTAAATGAAAAAGCTTTTATTTCTTTTATATACAGAAAATCATGACGAGATATATGAAATGAAGAATCATTCCGCAAAGTTAGCTGTACAGGTCCTGTTAGACGAATTAGAGAATTGTCAAGAACTCGGAAAATGGGAAAAATTTATCAGTGCCTTATCTGATAATGGTAACATGACACAATATTTTGAATATATAAAAAATCTAATTTAAAAGTTTTCAAAATTTACGCAAAGGTAAAAAATGGTTATCAAAAGGAACGGTTCGGTTCATTGGAATGATAAAGAGACTCCTCTATGGTTTATGAAAATAACTGGACTTTGTTTTTTATTATATAGCATCAAGTCTCCAAAAACGTTTTGGAGATTTTTTGTCTTTGCCGTCTGTCTGTCCGTCTGTTCGTTCAAGAAAAACTTCACATAAGTGATAAGAATCATCCCTAGTTGAACATATCGCTGGCAAGTTCTGTTTCAGTGCACGAAATGGTCGCCAGACATTTAAATAGAACATTCCTTTCAGGCTTTCGCAGGTCAATCTGCTAGTGGGATTTCAATTGAACTTCACAAGAGTGATCAGTATCATCCTAAGTTGTGCATATCTTCGGTACGTTTCAATTTGCTGCACAAAATGGCCGTCAGAGCTATAAGTAGATAAATCATTCCAATTTTCACAGGTCAAACTGCTTGTAGGATTTCAATAAAACTTTACAGGAGTGATTAATACCGTCCTTAGTTATGTATATCGCCGGCATGTTTCGCATCACTGCATGAAATGGCCACACGACCTACAAATAGAAAGACCTTTGTATCCTGGCGATATTTCGAGCTCTTTTCAAAGGAGACAGAGTACCATACCTTTTTAGGGAGACATTTTTTTGTTGTTTTTTGTGACAAATTTTGATTTTGGTCTTGCTTCAAAGCTTCTGATCCAAAGCTATGTCGGTATTTTTCCGGAAAAAATATATATCAATTGTAAAAACAAAATGAACAAAATATGAAAAAAATATAAATGCTTTTAACTCTGAAAAAATATTGCAAGAAATAAAAAATTTATATTTTAATGCTTTTAGACCTCAACGAAGAACTTAACTTAAAATAACTTGCCGACCTTTTTCTTACGTCAATGCTTTCTTTATTAATACAGGGTACTCGTACATCGTCGATAACATCAGGGGTTACAAGTTTATCAACCATTTTTATCAAAGAGAGTATATTAAAAGCATTACTCCAAAAATCGGATACATGATAAAAGTCTGCGAAATCATTTTTTTTGTTTACGCTAAAAATTTAATAAGTGAAAGTGATAAAGAAAATATTCAAAGGGAGGATGCCAACCGTGGTAACTTTGCAGCCGCAGTTTTACTACTCGACAGAATCCACCGTAAGCATCGCAATTGGTACTTGCTATTTATTGAAGCCCTAAATGAAGCAGGAATGGACGAAGTTGTAAAATGCCTGGAGATACCAGCGCTATTAGAAAGCAAAAGGACAAAGAATTCCGAAGTCTGTAAGTATCTTTACATAATAATATTTTCCATCATTATTATTTATGCATGTTTACTTATTGAATTTTATCATCCTATCTACATAATCTAATAGTCAAATGTTTTGAAATACTTTCCTGTAAATGTCTAATCTTTAATAATTATGCCCTCTCATAGTGAAATATCAATCATTTTTATTAGAAATATAATAATTTATATCAATCAGTTAACAATTAAAAATAGAAATTAAAATCATGTGTTTATTCAATGAATAGCTTTCTTAATAAAAGAAACCCTATTTCATGTAAGTGTAAAACAGTACTTTTTTGATATCAAACTAATTTCATATATGCCGGAAATTTCTTCTGGCATTGAGTTTCCAGGAAAGTCCAACTTATAAATAACCAGCGTTAAAAATGTTGCGTTTTTAGCATGATTTAGAATGAAACTGTGTCTTTAGGGTGACAACATTTCATCGATATGAATTATGTTGTAAATTCATACGTTTCTGTAGGACAATGGTCTATTATGAAATGACATTAACGTTCATGAAAAAATGTATAATTGAGATAAAGAATTTTAAATTAAAATTGGTATAACATTTGTATAATATGCAAGAAAATATATCAGTCATCAGATATTCCGATCCTAACTGCAATGAAATATAGTATTACTCTTGTAATGTTTAATTTGTACAGCATTTAAAAATTAGTTTTTCTGTTCCCTAGCTACTTCTCTTACTCAGAATTCTATTGTGACAATCCTTCTTTACATATAGTGATTATTTTCATATTTATTCATACCTCTTCGAAATTACAGAGAAACGGACAATCATTGGGTTTAAATTAAAACAACAATGCCGGCAATTTATAGAAAACATCTTGAGATCCAAGATGTGAAATATTTTTAGTTGGAGTTTTTCCGTAAACACATAAAAATGCCATATTGTACATTTTATCGTCCTCAAAATTCTTCTCCTTTTGTTTTTTTTTTTTTGTCAGATTGGAATGAGAGGATAACATAACTCTTATAAATGTCATGAAATGAATAAAAACTCGTCACACTGTACATGTATTAGGAATTATCAATACTTAATCAATATCTAGATCAAATATGAAATTAAGTATATTTGAGATATCTGAGAGTTTTTAACAGTTTACGTGTTTTATCAGACAAACAATGTGATGGAAGTAAAGGAGAAAAAAAGGTTACGCAAACGAGACGGTTGCCTCCCCCGCCCCCTGCATGTCCTGTTCGTGCTGGTAATTCAGATGAAAAATATGACTACAGCGCGAATGCACACGTGAAAGAAGAACAGCAAGATACTGGTAATGATAATAAGCATTATTTATTTTATAGACGTTGAATGAAGATTCTTTCTATTAAGATAAAGAACAAAGGAATAGAACATATTTATTGTTTATGTTATTTAAAGCCGTAAGAAACATTAGTTGATTATTCGTTGTTCTCGTGAATAGAGTAGTGGACTATGTGATGGATTTTGTGCACTGCACTTCACGACAATAAAACGTTTAGGGTAAAGCAAACTTATAGTGACAAAGGTATTCTCTGGACAAGCCTATTAAGTATGAAAATTAACATAAGGCAATAAGTGAAAATCATGATGTGAAGAGTACCAGTTCTTTTGCACTGGTCTTTTTCTTAATGAAATCTATC